GAACGTAACGGGTGAAAGAAGCCACGAAGAAGACCCGCGCATTCGAATATTAAACGGCGCACAATACGCATACAATTTTTCTATTTTATTCATATTATTGTAATTTATACGTAATTAAACGTCTTATCAAGTATACGAGTACCTCATTAGATAGGAGACCAAAATGTCCCCAACATTTTGGTCTTCGAGCCGAATTAGACGACTGCGACATCGAAGAAAGCGAGGATTTTCAAGATATCATCTCCAGTAACGGTTGGTTGATCATCCTGTCTAATTTCCTAATCCTTATTCAAATTGTGTTAAAATCGTGTTTATCTAAACGTTATTATTCGCGAGTTTAGGATTATTTGTGTACTAATACAGTTATATTTGCACGTAACTACCTTTATTGTTCTAATTGATTGCCAAAATGACCGACAGTGCTAACGGAAATTTATCTATTCCTCCCCTTTTACCATCTAAAAGAAAGACCGTAGACGTTATTATCAGTCTCAGATAGCAAAGAGGAATTTTGAAAGGTAAATTAACGGCATTTAAGAAATATGTCGACTCCTTCTTAGGCGCTAATTTAAATAAGATTCAGTAAGCTGAGATGAAGTTACGCATTCAAGCGGCTAGTGACATTTTCCAAAAATTTAATTCGGTCCAAAGGATATTGAGCTCCATTCAGCAGATGGGTCTGGCCGCCATTTTTTGCTGATATGGCGCAGAAGTATTGTGTTGGCGGCGTAGAAACTTCTACGCGTCCAACTCAGTGTTGCCACTTCCCGATTTGAACTTCACCGATTCCTAAAGTTTAATAGAACATGGAGAATAGGTGGCGTTGACAAAAGTGGCGTATAAGTACAGTTTTTGACGAAAACTTATTTGAAATCATTTTCAAGGAAATTCTTAGGATAAACGTTGCTAAATTAAAAGCACGGATAGCTATTAATATAAGTATTCTTATAGTATCAGCCATGTCTCAAAAACTGACATACTTTTTTGCTACTACGATAGTTAAAGTGCACCTCTACCTCGGCGGATAGAAGTTTTTATGTAATTTTACTACCTTTTTTCAGATTTCATTCGAAATATATTTTTTGTTTATTATCTGACCTGAAATAATCATAATGTCCACTTGAGTCACTTTGTTGCTTAATCCAAAGCCGTCATCGAAAATCCGATATCTATAATACTTTTCAAAATACTTACCGCGGAGAAAACAGTTTTCAAAATCAGCAAAAAATGGCGGCCTGTCCCAGATAGTGAAATCGATGGTGAAAATGAGTATGTTGAAACCGTAGAATCCCTTTATTTCGGTTGTATGGCTAACGCGAACTGCTTGATGGATAGTTCTATCACTATGAACGAGCCTAACAGTACCCAAAATTCAAACTGTTTGGCAGTTACAAACGTAAAATTGCCCGAAATCAAGTTGCCTTTATTCGATGGGTCATACGATCATTGGCTAGAATTCAAAAATTCGTACGTTACTATGATTCACGAACGATCTGATCTAAATAACATACAAAAATTCCACTACCTACGTTCGTCACTAATTGGTAATGCAAAATTAGTTATTAGCTCATTGGAACTTACTGCAGCTAACTATATTCACGCGTGGGAACTATGAGAGAACAGGTTCCACAATACCAGACTGTTAATTAATAATCACGTAAAAGCCCTATTTAATGTTATGCCTATCAAACAAGAGTGAACTACTCAAATTAGAAAATTAATAGACACTATTTTACGCAACCTACGTGCACTTAAAATGTTAGACGAACCCACCGAGTCATGGGATACGTTAATTATATATTTAATTGTAACCAAATTAGATTCCACTACGGAGCGTGAATGGGAAACATATAAAGGTTCATTATCTTTAAAGGATAATTTTCTCAAAATAAAATTGGAAGACATTCTATCATTTCTCAAGAACCGCGCAGATATGTTAGAAATGATCACTAGTTCACATAATAAAACTAAAGATACCTCACAAAATTATAAATCATCTTACTCGAATAAAAATAATACACAAATTCAAAGCTACGTTTCCAGTAATAGCACAAAGAACAAATCTTCCAATTTTATTAAGAACGTTAGAAGTTGCATATTTTGTAATCACAATCACGCACTGTACACTTGTTTTGGTTTTCTAAACTATATCAAAGAAAGATTAAAATTCGTAAGCGAAAATAAATTGTGCAGCAACTGTTTACGATCGGGGCACGAACCGAGTGAATGTCTCTTCGGTCCATGTAAACAGTGCTCACAAAAACATAATACTTTGCTGCATTTAGACGTCAAGCAATATGACATAGGGCATACGAACGGCGAACCCTCAACCTCTGCAGGGCGCAGTACCACGCATCCGCGATCTACGACAGCGTTACACTTAATGCCCGCTCGGCCCGTAGCCACAGGCGCATTGTCTTCCTCGTCTACATTAGCGGGAGACCGGGACTGTGCGAGCGAGATGCAGGTGTTATTATGTACAGCGCTGGTCGAGGTAGCCGATATCCATAATAATTTCCATTTTCCAACATTGTTTTATAACAGATAAATTACATAAACGTCTTAATGCGTCTTTAATCCAGTCCACTGTTCAGATTTCGGGTGTAGGTCAATCTATTACCCAGTCGAATCATTTATGTAATATTTTAATGCGTTCTCGAGTAAACGATTATAATACGAGGCTTCAATGTTTTGTTTTGCCGCGTATTACAAACAGGTTACCGTCAACTAACATTGATGCTAACATAATTCGTATACCTAGCAATATACAACTGGCGGATCCTACTTACGGTATTCCTTCTGACATTGATTTGTTAATAGGTGCTGATGCGTTATGGGGTCTTATTAATACGGATAAAATTATACGATTGCCCAGCGGTACCTACTTAAGCAATTCTAAGTTAGGGTGGCTATTATCTGGACCGATTTACACGAAGAACTTGCGCATTAATCAGGTTCAGTGTAACTTCGTACAGAATATTGATACGGATTTGAGAATGTTTTGGGAGATAGAAAACATACCAAATTTAAACAAGCCTATTCTCACAAACGACGAGCGCATTTGTGAGAATTTATTTATTAATTCAACTAAACGAGAAATAAGCGGTAGGTTTTCAGTACGTATACCTCTCAAGGAGTCACCGAATGTACTCGGAGACTCGTATACATTAGCCAAAAATAGGTTTTTATCACTTGAACGAAAGTTAGAACGTTCCTCCGAATATAAACGTAGTTATTGCAATTTTATGCAAGAATATTTAAGTTTGGGGCACATGACGAAGATAGACGCGCCCAGACAGCCTCATTACTATTTACCTCACCACGGCGTGCTGCGTGAGAGTAAGTAGTACCACCACTAAGTTGAGGGTGGTATTTGATGCCAGTGCCATTACAACTACGAATAAGTCGCTTAACGACATACAATTACCAGTCCCGGCATTACAAAACGATATTTTTTCTATTCTGCTGCGTTTTCGTCAGTATAAATACGTCGCTTGCGCTGACGTTGAGAAAATGTTTAGGCAAGTTCTTATTCAACCTGATCAAAGATCCTTGCAACTCATATTATGGCGTAATAATCCTACTGAACCCTTAGAAACGTACCAATTAAACACTGTCACGTATGGGACTGCGTCGGCCCCTTCTCTAAGTATGAGGTGTATACGACAGCTAGCCGATGAGTGTAGGGATAGCGATATAGCAAGGGTTATTAAGGAAGATTTCTTTGTTGATGACCTGATAAGTGGCCATGATGACTTTGACACTTTAACAAAGACCTGCGAGCAAGTTTCACAGATTTTGTTGAGTGGCGGGTTTCCATTACGAAAATGGACATTTAACTCGTCTGTTTCTGATGAAACAAAGGAATATTTCACATGCGAGTATAACCAGAACAAAACTTTAGGTTTGGGTTGGCTAAATTATGAAGATCAGTGGTATTTTACTACCAAAATTGATTATTGCGATACTAAATTGACTAAACGTATTATGCTTTCGGTTATATCGCAAATATACGATCCGTTAGGTCTAATATCGCCTGCAGTTATTATTTCAAAATTACTTTTACAAAAACTGTGGTTATGTAAGGTCGACTGGGACACTCAGATATCTCAAGATATTACGAGTGATTGGGTTCGTTTTATTGAGTCGCTACGAATATTACACACTTTGCGTGTTCCTAGACGAGTGACCAGTGATCATGCACAACATACGGAACTGCATATTTTTACCGACGCATCAACTTATGACATAAATTCAAAAAGAACTTCTCATTTGCTTACTGCTAAAAGTAAAGTCGCACCTATAAAGCCCGTAAGTATCCCTCGGTTGAAGCTATGTGGAGCGCTGATGGGTGCAAGATTATATAGAAAAATTATCGAATCATTAAAAATGAAATTTTCAAAAGTTTACTTCTGGACTGATTCCACTATAGTCATTGGATGGATTCGAATGTCACCTCATGCACTGAAAACGTTCGTACAGAACCGTGTAGTGGAAATCTACGATCTCACAGGAGATGCAGTTTGGCTACACATAAACGGGGAAGATAATCCAGCAGACTTGTCGACGTCTAATAAGCTAGCATGGCAAAGTGAGCAGAATCATTTAAAATAAAGTGCATCAATTAGTGCTTATTTAGTGCTAATTTAGTGCCAAAACCGGAAATTTAATGCTCTCATAGTTTAGCGAAAAATTAGAACACTGCCAGCTTTTAATTAAGCTAGCAGTGTATTCCCTGAAACGCCTATATTAACGCGGTATAGAACTAAAGCAATGCATAGGGAATTTAGTGCTTAATGAGTGCTGGCAGTATCTGATGAAAATTTTGGAAAATAAAAAATATTTTATTTTTTATCAATAAAAACTGCTAGTATGACAGTCTGAGCAAGTGACCGGTTCGAATACATCACTCTGAATCGAAGATCTATGATAATCAACGGTTAATAATTTAGTGCTCAATGAGTGCTGCCAGTATGTGACAAAAAATTAGGTTTTTTTTTTTTAATTTTTTATCAATATAAACTGCTAGTATGACAGTCTGAGCAAGTGACTGGGTTGAATACATCACTCTGGATCGAAGATCTATGATAATCAACGGTTAATAATTTAGTGCTCAATGAATGCTGCCAGTATGTGATAAAAAATTAGGATTTTTTTTTAATTTTTATCACTATAAACTGCTAGTATGACAGTCTGATCAAATGACCGGGTTGAATACATCACTCTGGATCGAAGATTTATGATAGTCAACGGTTAATAATTTAGTGCTCAATGAGTGCTGCCAGTATGTGATAAAACATTCGGATATTTTTATTTTTTATTAATAAATACTGCTAGTTTGACAGTCTGAGCAAGTGACAGGGTTGAATACATCACTCTGGATCGAAGATCTATTATAATCAACGGTAAATAATTTAGTGCTCAATGAGTGCTGCCAGTATGTGATAACAAATTAGGATTTTTTTTTTTATTTTTTTATCAATATAAACTGCTAGTGTGACAGTCTGAGCAAGTGACTGGGTTGAATACATCGCTCTGGATCGAAGATTTATGATAGTCAACGGTTAATAATTTAGTGCTCATTGAGTGCTACCAGTATGTGATAAAACATTTGGATTTTTTTATTTTTTTATCAAAATAAACTGCTAGTATTACAGTCTGAGCAAGTAACCGGGTTGAATACATCACTACGGATCGAATATGTATGATAATCAACGGTTAATAATTTAATGCTCAATGAGTGCTGGCAGTATGTGATAAAAGAAATTAGAAAAAAACAAAATATTTTATTTTTTAGCAAATGAAACTGCTAGTATGGCAGTCTGAGCAAGTCACCGGGTTGAATACATCACTCTGGATCGAAGATCTATGATAATCAACAGTTAATAATTTAGTACTCAATGAGTGCTAACAGTATGTGATAAAAAATTACGAAATTTCAATTTTTTAAATTTTTTATCAATATAAACTGCTAGTATGACAGTCTGAGCAAGTGACCGGGTTGAATACATCACTCTGGATCGAAGATTTATGATAGTCAACGGTTAATAATTTAGTGCTCAATGAATGCTGCCAGTATGTGATAAAAAATTAGGATTTTTTTTTAATTTTTATCACTATAAACTGCTAGTATGACAGTCTGATCAAATGACCGGGTTGAATACATCACTCTGGATCGAAGATTTATGATAGTCAACGGTTAATAATTTAGTGCTCAATGAGTGCTGCCAGTATGTGATAAAACATTCGGATATTTTTATTTTTTATTAATAAATACTGCTAGTTTGACAGTCTGAGCAAGTGTCAGGGTTAAATACATCACTCTGGATCGAAGATCTATTATAATCAACGGTTAATAATTTAGTGCTCAATGAGTGCTGCCAGTATGTGATAACAAATTAGGATTTTTTTTTTTTATTTTTTTATCAATATAAACTGCTAGTGTGACAGTCTGAGCAAGTGACTGGGTTGAATACATCGCTCTGGATCGAAGATTTATGATAGTCAACGGTTAATAATTTAGTGCTCATTGAGTGCTACCAGTATGTGATAAAACATTTGGATTTTTTTATTTTTTTATCAAAATAAACTGCTAGTATTACAGTCTGAGCAAGTAACCGGGTTGAATACATCACTACGGATCGAATATGTATGATAATCAACGGTTAATAATTTAATGCTCAATGAGTGCTGGCAGTATGTGATAAAAGAAATTAGAAAAAAACAAAATATTTTATTTTTTAGCAAATGAAACTGCTAGTATGGCAGTCTGAGCAAGTCACCGGGTTGAATACATCACTCTGGATCGAAGATCTATGATAATCAACAGTTAATAATTTAGTACTCAATGAGTGCTAACAGTATGTGATAAAAAATTACGAAATTTCAATTTTTTAAATTTTTTATCAATATAAACTGCTAGTATGACAGTCTGAGCAAGTGACCGGGTTGAATACATCACTCTGGATCGAAGATTTATGATAGTCAACGGTTAATAATTTAGTGCTCAATGAGTGCTGCCAGTATGTGATATAACATTTGGATTTTTTTATTTTTTATTAATAAAAACTGCTAGTTTGACAGTCTGAGCAAGTGATCGAGTTGAATACATCACTCTTGATCGAAGATTTATGATAGTCAACGGTTAATAATTTAGTTCTCAATGAGTACTGCCAGTATGTAATAAAAAATAACGAAATTTTAATTTTTTAAATTTTTTATCAATATAAACTGCTAGTATGACAGTCTGAGCAAGTGACAGCATTGAATACATCACTCTATACAGAGCACTCATTAAGCACTAAATTATTAACCGTTGATTATCATAGATCTTCGATCCAGAGTGATGTATTCAACCCGGCCACTTGCTCAGATTGTCATACAAGCAGTTTATATTGATAAAAAAATTAAAAAATTAAAATTTCGTAATTTTTTATCACATACTGGCAGCACTCATTGAGCACTAAATTATTAACCTTTGATTACCATAGATCTTCGATCCAGAGTGATGTATTCAACCCTGTCACTTGCTCTGACTGTCATACTAGCAGTTTATATTGATAAAAAATTAAAAAAATTAAAATTTCGTTATTTTTTATCACATACTGGCAGCACTCATTGAGCACTTAATTATTAACCGTTGATTATCATAGATCTTCGATCCAGAGTGATGTATTCAACCCTGTCACTTGCTCAGACTGTCAAACTAGCATTTTTTATTAATAAAAAATAAAAAAATCCGAATGTTTTATCACATACTGGCAGCACTCATTGAGCACTAAATTATTAATCGAAGTCTATCATACATATTTGATCCGGAGTGATGTATTCAACCCGGTCACTTGCTCAGACTGTCAAACTAGCAGTTTATATTGATAAAAAAATAAAAAAAACCAAATGTTTCATCACATACTGGCAGCACTCAACGAGCACTAAATTATTAACCGTTGACTATCATAAATCTTCAATCCAGGGTGATGTATTCAACCCGGTCACTTGCTCAGACTGTCATACTAGCAGTTTATATTGATAAAAAATAAAAAAATCCAAATGTTTTATCACATACTAGCAGCACTCATTGAGCACTAAATTATTAACCGTTGATTATCATAGATCTTCGATCCAGAGTGATGTATTCAACCCTGTCACTTACTCAGACTGTCATACTAGCAGTTTATATTGATAAAAAATTAAAAAAAATAAAATTTCCTACTTTTTTATCACATACTGGCAGCACTCATTGAGCACAAAATTATTAACCGTTGATTATCATAGATCTTCGATCCAGAGTGATGTATTCAACCCAGTCACTTGCTCAGACTGTCAGACTAGCAGTTTATATTGATAAAAAATTAAAAAAAAAATCCTAATTTTTATCTCATACTGGCAGCACTCATTGAGCACTAAATTATTAACCGTTGATTATCATAGATCTTCGATCCAGAGTGATGTATTCAACCCTGTCATGTGCTCAGACTGTCAAACTAGCAGTTTTTATTAATAAAAAATAAAAAAATCCGAATGTTTTATCACATACTGGCAGCACTCATTGAGCATTAAATTATTAACCGTTGATTATCATACATATTCGATCCGGAGTGATGTATTCAACCCAGTTACTTGCTCAGACTGTCATACTAGCAGTTTATATTGATAAAAAAATAAAAAATCCAAATGTTTTATCACATACTGGCAGCCCTCAAAGAGCACAAAATTATTAACCGTTGACTATCATATTTCTTCGATCCAGAGCGATGTATTCAACCCAGTCACTTGCTCAGACTGTCATACTAGCAGTTTATATTGATAAAAATTTTAAAAAATTAAAATTTCGTTATTTTTTATCACATACTGGCAGCACTCATTGAGCACTAAATTATTAACCGTTGATTATCATACATATTTGATCCGGAGTGATGTATTCAACCCGGTCACTTGCTCAGACTGTCAAACTAGCAGTTTATATTGATAAAAAAATAAAAAAATCCAAATGTTTTATCACATACTGGCAGCACTCAATGAGCACTAAATTATTAACCGTTGACTATCATAAATCTTCGATCCAGGGTGATGTATTCAACCCTGTCACTTGCTCAGACTGTCAAACTAGCAGTTTATATTGAAAAAAAAAATTAAAAAATTAAAATTTCGTAATTTCTTATCACATACTGGCAGCACTCACTGAGCACTAAATTATTAACCGTTGATTATCATAGATCTTCGATCCAGAATGATGTATTCAACCCGGTCACTTGCTCAGACTGTCATACTAGCAGTTTATATTGATAAAAAATAAAAAAATCCAAATGTTTTATCACATACTAGCAGCACTCATTGAGCACTGGTATCGATTCTAGCATCATTCTCTAAACCTAAACTTAAATTTGACAGCGGTATATCCTTGTCATTCTCTATACAGAATGAAAAGGAGAGACTGATGTTAAATTTAGTTTTAAGTTTAGAGAATCACGCCAGAATTGGTACCATTAAATTATTAACAGTTGATTATCATAGATCTTCGATCCAGAGTGATGTATTCAACCCTGTCACTTACTCAGACCGTCATACTAGCAGTTTATATTGATAAAAAAATTAAAAAATTAAACTTTCTTTATTTTTTATCACATACTGGCAGCACTCATTGAGCACTAAATTATTAACCGTTGACTATCATAAATCTTCGATCCAGAGTGATGTATTCAACCCGGTCACTTACTCAGACTGTCATACTAGCAGTTTATATTGATAAAAAATTAAAAAAAAAATCCTACTTTTTTATCACTTACTGGCAGCACTCATTGAGCACTAAATTATTAACCGTTGATTATCATAGATCTTCGATCCAGAGTGATGTATTCAACCCAGTCACTTGCTCAGACTGTCATACTAGCAGTTTATATTGATAAAAAATTAAAAAAAAAATCCAAATTTTTTATCACATACTGGCAGCACTCATTGAGCACTAAATTATTAACCGTTGACTATCATAGATGTTCGATCCAGAGTGATGTATTCAACCCTGTCACTTGCTCAGACTGTCATACTAGCAGTTTTTATTGATAAAAAATAAAATATTTTTTATTTTCCAAAATTTTCATCAGATACTGCCAGCACTCATTAAGCACTAAATTCCGTATGCATTGCTTTAGTTCTAAACCGCGTTAATATAGGCGTTTCAGGGAATACACTGCTAGCTTAATTAAAAGCTGGCAGTGTTCTAATTTTTCGCTAAACTATGAGAGCATTAAATTTCCGGTTTTGGCACTAAATAAGCACTAATTGATGCACTTTATTTTAAACGATTCTGCTCACTTTGCCATGCTAGCTTAACAGACGTGACTTGTTGTCTCGTGGTGTCTATCTGGATGCGCTAGTTGACAATAAATTGTGGTGGCATGGACCGTCTTGTTTAGATAGTTTAAATTCATTTAACGATTGTATGATTAATTCAGATATATCTAATTTACCAGAATTAAAATCAATTAGTAATAATATAATTTCTTTAACTAGCACTAATAATTTGAATTTAATTCAATTCGATAAATATTCATCTTACACTAGATTATTAAGGATAGGCGCGTACATTCTACGTTTTATTTATAACGCGCGCACTGCTCACAAACAAGATCGTAAAACCGGTTTGTTATCCGTAGACGAGTTAGCAGAGTCGAGGCGCTTATTAGTTAGATGTGCACAGTTGCAATCTTTTCCCGACGTTTATTATTGTTTAGTGAACGGTCGTCCTATAACTACGTGTAATAATAAACGTATATATCTGGACTACACGTATTTATGGATGACAGCAAAGTTATAAGGGTAGGTGGAAGATTAAATAATTCGAGTCATTTCGATTATAATAAACAGCATCCAATTTTACTGTGCTGTAAACATTATTTTACTGTTTTGTTGTGTAGGCATGAACACAAGCGGTTACTACATGCTAGTCATCAACTGCTTTTAGCTTCCATGCGTGAATGTTGGTGGCCATTAAGTGGTAGGAATTTAGTTAGGAAAGTCGTTCGTGAATGCGTAACTTGTACGAGACTAAAGGCCAAAACACTAAGTCCAATCATGGGCAACCTACCTAGTGATCGTATCGACCCTGGTTTTCCATTTCTTAAGACCGGCGTTGATTATGCTGGACCAGTTTATATTTTAAATAAAAAGGGGAGAGGGTCTCGTCTATCCAAGGCGTATATTTGTTTATTTATATGTTGCACTACACGGGCCATACATTTGGAACTTGTCACTACGCTAACTTCTAAAGACTACATCTTAGCATTGAAACGTTTTATTAGTCGAAGAGGTAAACCTAATATCATATACTCAGACAACGGTAAAAATTTCGTGGGTGCTGAGAAGGAGTTACCATTATTCTTAAAAAATAATACTAATGAAATTTCTGATTTTGCAAGCAACGATGGCATTCAATTTAAAATTCCGCCATATTCGCCTCATTTTGGTGGTTTGTGGGAAAGTGGGGTACGTTCGTGCAAATATCACTTGCGACGTATAGTAGGGAACGCGAGACTAACTTACGAAGAGTTTAGCACGATTTTAACACAAATTGAAGCCGTACTGAATTCTCGTCCAATGTCCCCTATTTCCTCAGATCCTTCCGATTTAAATCCCCTCACTCCAGCCCATTTCCTGATTGGTCGACCGTTGACTGCGCCACCTGAGATGGATTTGACTGCTGCAAACACTAATGCCTTGACTCGCTACGAGAGACTGGAGCAACTTCGGCAACATTTCTTGCAGCGTTGGTCCAGAGAATATATAGCCGAGCTTCAGACGAGGACAAAGTGGAAGACGGAAGCAGATGACATCGCCCTTGACAGTTTGGTTCTACCTTGGAAAGAAGACAATCTACCACCACTTCAATGGAGATTGGGACGTGTAGAACGAGTGTTCCCAGGAAGGGACGGCGTTTCCAGGGTGGCTGACATACGCACTTCATCGGGAATCATTCGACGAGCATTCTCGAAGATATGTCCACTCCTATAAATACATACGAAAGCCAAAGTTACTGATAGGCATTCCTGCCCATTCATACTTTTGCATTCAACATTTACAAGACTTCACGGGAATATCACCTATTCAAATACTAGTGACTTTACGAAAAATACGTTGGCATGAACCAAAGTCAATGCTTGCAATACATTTTGGCCTCTCTGAGAGTTCAGTGACTAAAGATTTAAAAAAAACTCTCCCCAAAGTTGCATTCTACCTGAATCAGCTTATTAACTGGCCATCAACGGATCATGTGAGGGAAAACTTGCCGATAGCTTTTAGGAAGCGCTATTCTAAATCGATTTCAATAATAGATTGTTTCGAAATTCAAATTGAGAAACCAAGCAACGCATCGCACCAAGCGCTTACGTGGTCTCAATATAAAAGCTGTAATACCATTAAGTACTTGGTTTCTATTACACCTGATGGCTTGATAAATTTTATCTCTGAGGGATATGGAGGGAGGACCCCAGACTCAACAATATTTGAAAACAGCGGATTTCTTGAAAAATTGCCACAAGAAAGTATTGTGTTAGCTGACAGGGGCTTCAAAAATATTTCCCACTTTCTGGAACAACGTGGTTGCACGCTCCTGAGGCCGCCTAGTGTGAGTTCCAACTCCAAACCTACAGCGGAGGAAGTCCTACAAACGAAGAGAATCGCTGCTATAAGGGTTCACGTTGAAAGAACCATAGGAAAGTTGAGAGACTTTAAAATGATCGGACCTCACGCTTGTGTCGATATTTCGTACATACATTTTTTGGATGATATTGTAACAATAGCCTGTGGCTTAGTTAATT